TAAATAGGCCTTTTGCAGCTAGAGATCACGTGCTTAGATACCGCATAGCAACGCCATACTGGAGAGCAAGCACTCCAGTGATCTCAGACAGTATAGAGGTCACAGAGGTCTGCATTCAAACAAAGAATACAGCGGATAACAGGTCAAAAGGTATCCCAATTCGAGAAATCCAGTAAGAAGTAATCAACAGCTTCCCCGGAGTGTATCAGCAGCAAAATCACACCAAAATTCGTTTTTCGCTGATACACTCCAAGGAAGCTGTTGATTAAAAGTTACAAGATTTCTCGAATTGGGATACCCTTTAACTTGTTATCCGCTGTATTCTTTGTTTGAATGCAGACCTCTATGATCTCTATTTTGTCTGAGATCACTGGATTGCTTGCTCTCCAGTATGGCGTTGCTATGCGGTATCTAAGCACGTGATCTCTCACTGCAAAAAGCCTGTTGCAAAGAGGCAACAGATTTTGATGACAACCCTTTCGAATGCAAAACTTATCACGGCAGGCCAATGAATTTGTTTTACTACCATCTCACTGAAAATAATTTGTTCAAAACTTCCTTTCAGATAATGCAGAGGAGGCCTGATTATCAGATTCCGCGCTCCGGTAATCGCCTAGTTCATAAATGCATAGCAAGCGTTTTGCCCACCAATTGAATCGGACAATTCGAAAGCGTAGTGTGAGTGTGAAGAGAGATGGTAAATGTTACGTCCGGTCGTCCAATAAAGAAACATGTCGTCCATCTAGTCTCAATCAAGGGTCAAAGGAAAAAGAAAAGACCGTAAAATAATCCAACAGCGGAACACTGCATTTCACTGATGTTGCCGCCTGTCTAGTGAGAGTGTTTTTTAGGTGCCTTCATATTCATGCGGATCTGGCACGTGCTTTCGTCTCGCACTACTCCTGGGCACGTTTACATGGCTTTTTCCCTATGTTCATATCTGCAGGAAGCTTTAAAGATCAAAGGGGCAAAAAGCTCTTGATGACAATCCCTTTTGGAATGCGAAACTTATCAGTTCATGTGCATGGGTTGGGTTTCATCGTGGAATCTCCTTAATTTGTTACAGCTCGATTGTACATTGTTTCCTGTGAGAATAACAACGACTCCTTCCCGCTAAATTAGCCCTAAACATCAGTGCATGATATGTTCCTGTGCTGGCGTTGACGAAGAGCACTATATCTGATGACAAAGTTAGTAGTTCAACAACATTTGGGCTTTGATCGGTGTTGAAAACATTTGTGTTACAGCATCTAAAATAGCAACGTTTCCAATCTAAGTTAGGAACAAAGTACTGTGAAGGCTTGGAGGATATAAATTGGACTAGTGAAAATCCGTGTTTCTGAGATACACGTCCACATAAGTCAACTAAATTCTTAGTTAAACACGTACATACACCCATATATACATACATACCAAAAACTCTTTAGCACCATATGTCTGGAAACGTTCTTTGCTCTACGGATGCTCCAGAGGACTTCAAGAGTTGCAGAGGTTAGACTGATTTATCAAGTTAAAGAATTACGTAACTCGACAACTAAATACCTTTCGTTCCGAGGCAGACGATAGTTAGATAGCGGTAAGCTAAATACATGTAATTCTAACTTTTCATATTTTCCTTCTTTGTATTAACAAATAGATTCCATGTTTCCGTGCTTGTGTTCAGTAACAGAACACAGATGAAGTCAAAGTATGGCAAGAACTAAAGAGTGGCACACGAGGCGCAGGTGAGAATGTAACTGATGTTCTCGTTACATTTTGACGTCTGCTGTGATCTGTTACAGTTACAGAAACTGTAATCTTTGTCACTCGACAAAGTCGAGCCTGATCGATTTAGATATTATTCAAGAATATTTTGTTCATGGTGACGTCATCTAAACGTCTCTCTTTCAACAGATCGCGAATGGGAACCAATCAAAATCAGTATGTTATTTCGTCTTTTAGCATAATAGTGAATGATAATAGCAGCAAAGGGCCGGGGGCCTGGGGAAGAGCGGGGTGACGGTTTTTCCGGAGTTCTCCATATCTTGACAAATGTTACATTTTGGTTAATTTTCTTTAACTTAGACTCATTTTTCATTGTAAAGAAAAATAAATTTCATACGCTTTTATGGTTTCCTAGATTAGATTAAGACCATATTGGTGAAAATTAATAACCGGCGCGGCGCAGAAATTAGGGAATTTAAGCAAACCCCGACGGCGACGGCAACGAGAACGTGGGAAAACAATAGATCTAATTGGCAGAACAGTAGCTCAGCACGTGCGTTTTAAAACTTTGTACATTTCTTTGCCGTCCTTTGCAAAACAACGTGAAATCCCCAAAATTTGTGTCGTCTGCGAACCGAAACCGCGGCGACGAACTATTTTAATTTACATTTGGAACTCAACGCTACTTTTCAGCGTTATGTTGAGTTTGAGGTCTGGCACCCTATGAGACAGTAAATACATGCAGCCATTTTCGAAATTCTAACTGAAAGTAGAAACTCATTTTTTAACCGACGTGACTGCTTAAGTTCCCTATTAGGGAGCTTTAGCAACGACGACGGCGACGGCAACGAGAACGGTAGAAAACAATAGGCTTAATGAGCAAAACCAATCGCCCTGCACGTGCGTTGAACATTTTGGTACATTTCTTTGCCGTTCTCGGCAAAAAAAACGTTACGTGAAATAACCAATCTTTAGGTTTTCTCGAGAACGTGAGCGCTTGACGGTTAATTTTTCTTTCTTTCTCCTTACTTTAACGCTGTTCGTAGTGATATAGTCCCTGAATAGCTCGCCAGCATTTTCCAAGTGAAACACATCGGAATAACCTCGAAAGAGTTACAAAAACGAAAAGTTAGATTTCGAAACGACGTT